AACGTCATGTACAAAGAATGTTTTTCCTTTTGTAAATTTTATGTCAGTCAACTAGACTATATTGTCTATAGTTAAATCTTAGCATATCTGTAAATGTCCGACCCTTCTTTGGACATATTGTGTTTATACTACTAACATAAATGAATGTAAAAAAACAACGAAATATCTGTGATATACACTAACATCTATCCGGATGTATTACTTCCCTTTTGAGAACAAGTTCCAACTTTTATTTTTATTTTTATATCCATCAGCATCATGATACACTTAGTTCTCTAACAGAAGGTATGTAATACATACATCTTACCGGAGTGTTGACCACTATATACAACACTAAATACAAACCGAACGAATTTTAAACATGATATGCTCATATAGAACGGGAACTATATACACGCGTATGTGTGTGTGCATGTGTATATATGTGTATATGGATATATATATATATATATATATATATATATATATATATATATATATATATATATATATATATATGTGTGTATACATATATTCAATTTTAATTGTGATTTTAAACGAAATTCATTATTCAGTCACAACAATGTGACTGAAGAAAGGTAGTGTCTTATACCCAACAAAAAGAAGAAGTAATTAAGACAGGTGCCGTATCGATAAGTGACAGTCGATATGACACATGACTTAATTAACAATTGTCTTGTCAAAAATAATACCGGCCACATGGTGATTAAAATATAACAAATTTAATAATTATTTAATTAAAGCTTTGTTTGCCGTCTTCCTCTAAGTAGGAGATGCGTTTTGGTTTGTATTTGGAAAACAATGTGTAGTTCCACATCTGCAATAATTTACACTAAGAAATAGTGTCAACGTTAAGGTAATATTAAAAATAACATCTTTAATTACGATGATTGTAAAGAATGTTTTTCCATTACAGCAAGTTCTGATGAAGCCCAAAATTATGTGGCGAAAGCTTGACTACTAATAAAAGACACTCACTTTGAAGCACCTGTTTTTTATTGCTTCCTTAGTATTGGGTCGTTCCCGGTTACCTTCAATTGTCTGTTGTTTACCAGTAACCCGTTACTGTCCTTGATATTTTTTATATATATATATATATATATATATATATATATATATATATTATATATATATATATATATATATATATATTAACTCTCCAAAATTAATACACCACCTCAAACGAACCATGATTTTGAAACTATATTTCTTCTGAACCCTGAGTTGGATTTCGATAATTTTTATTTTACATTGCAGGCATAGTTTTAATTAATTACTATATTAAGTTTCTTCGAGAAATGCCACCTTTTTACCTATATTATACAGGATGTAAAAATAAAGTGGTATTTTTTATCTAATTCCAACAACCTGTAGAATGTATTAGAAACAAACGCATATGTTACGAATATCTTATTAATATTTCGGTAAAGCTTCATCCTTTCTTAATATTTTCGTAAAAAAAATATCTCGATATCTGTATTACCAAAAAAAAAAAGTAGGTTGAAAGCATTACGTGATTTAATTAAATCGTAGTAAGTTTTCGTGAAATAGGCTTGAGATTAGGAGTATCTCATACTACAATATCACGAGTCATTCAAAGTTTTCGAGTATCAAACGATCATACACGACGACGTAGATAATGAAGAGGAAGACTCACACCATCACGATAAGATCAGTTTATTAGGCTTTGTGCTATAAGAGAACGTTTTGTCACAATAAAACATTTACAAATACAAGTGGCAAATGTTCATATTATTTAAATTAGTAAAAAACACTACACAAAGGTGAACAAGTGCTGAACAAGATCTGCATGTACATAAGTCAAAGCATCAGATTTAAACGTAAATCATCGAAGGAGTTGATTATAATTTGGGTCGTTCCCGGTTACCTTCAATTGTCTGTTATATATATATATATATATATATATATATATATATATATATATATATATATATATATATATATATATATATATATATAATATGTATTGCTGATATAATAATATTTAAACCAAATGGGATACATTATTTCCTTAAACAGTTATTTGTAAAATTATAAATAAAATATTTAACGAGTTTTATATACTATGCATTTTATATACAAAATATTTATCTTTCCTAAGTGTACCTATATCCCATCTCCTTGCAGAAACCCTCTCCCTTAATTATCCGTAATTGTGTAGTTAGTAGCACTGTAAGTGTTTGGTGTTCAGCAGGATAACAGGCAGACCTCTCGATTGAATTTCAAGACTGGTGACTCCATCTGGCAGAAACGGTCCCAAATAAATCCTTGTTGAAAAACCGGAGAAACAGATCGCAGCTCAGCATAATGAACTATGGCGCAGTTGCCTTCTCCGCGCCTACGCCATTACAGGTCCGCACTCTCAGGCCCTAATTTATGCATATTTATAATCCCTTTTGTAGTTATATAAATTATATATGACAATTTCGTTTGTTTTAATAATAAATATATAAATAGCATGCATTCAAATATTTATGTTATAACACACAACAAATATATTATGCAACAGCATTGTTTTCAATTTATATTAGCAGTGCCAATTTATAATAAAACCCTAAACTAAACAATAATTATTTGTACAACCAATTACGTAATATTAAAAAAAATCTTCTTGACATGTTGTGTTCTCTTAATATTGATTATTATTTAAGTCTGTTATTCTATTATACATTTTATAATTGCTACCCTGAAAAAGGAATTCTGATGTTTTGTGCATACTATTCTCTCTAATTAATAATATATATATATATATATATAATATATATATATATATATATATATATATATATATATATATATATATACTCAAAAAGGTAATTTAATTATCTCTTAAAATGTGTCAAAAAATTAAAATCAAAATATCTAAAATATGAGCTACAATCTCATAAAAAATGCAAAACTTTTCATTTCTGCCTAAAATACAGTACATAAAAGAACACAATAATTTTGATAGATTAAAACAAAAACCTACTATGACTACCACAACATAAATCAAAAAGATGCGTCAACCTGTCAATAGGGACATAAATAAACATAAAATGGGATATCATACGCTTATCATAAACTCGACGAAAAGAAGAAAACCAAATACAGCTAAAATCTGGTAATCTATGATATTATAAAGGAAATGAAAGAAAAAATAATGAATTTGGAGTAGGATTTATAATAAATAAACCAATAAGTAAGCATATCTAAATTATCAAAGGTATATTAGATCGTGTTGCCTATATCATACTTAAAATAAGAAGAACATCAATTACAATTATCCGGGTATATGTCCCCACGACAGCTTATCATGACGAAGATATCGAACTATTTTATGAAGATATATCAAAGGCTATGAAAGAACATAAAAATCGTCTTAAACTCGTAATTGGAGATTTCAATGCCAAATTGGGTAGAAAACTAAACAAAGAAGAAACTAAAATAAGAGATTTCGGGTATGGTCAGAGAAATGATAGAGGTGCTACTGTGATGAACTACCTAGAAGAAAATCATCTATATGCAATGAACTCCTATTACAAAATGAAGTCCCAACGAAAATGGAAATGGATCAGCCCTAGTGGATCCACAAAAAATGAGATCGTCTACATACTGTCCACGAAACTATATATCGTTAAAGATGTAACAGATTCACAACAGGTAGCTATCACAGGATGGTCAGAGCAAAAATAAGTATTGACGGTAACTATGAAATGAAAAGAAAAATAATTAGAAACTGGAATTTAGTAGATAGAAACAAACTAGTGCAATATAAAGAGATATATAAACACCTATTAAAAGAACAACTTACCCAAAAATTAGACAGTGATGATAAAGATATAGACGAAATAGACGACATACTTACAGCAACGATGATTACATCAGGAAAAGAAATAACAAAAAAGGATCTAAAAAAGAACAATTATATATCAACAGAAACCAAGAAGCTTATGGATAAAAAAAGGAAGCTGAACGAAGAAGGCAAAACAAAATCTATAGAATACGTAGAAATCAATAAAACAATAAGCAGAATGATAAACAAAAATAAGAGAAAATAATAAGAATTAAAAATAGAAGAAGTAATACAGAACAACAAAAATATGAAATTCTTAAGGCTGAAATTAGGTAAGTTTGAAATAAACAAAATAAACGATTATAGAATTATATAAAAAAAGGAACCACCAGAAGAAACTAAAAACCAACTTAATGGTAAAATAAAAAATGTCAACTCAGAGCTGCAGCCAGAAATAAGCAAATCAGAAATAAAGAAGGCAGCAAAATATGGTGGAAAAGTGGTAATTAATACTCTACATTCCCTTTTTAACAAGATATTAAAAGAAAAAAGAATCCCAAATAACTGGAAGGAATTCGTAACCATTATCCTACAGTAAGAAAGGGGATACAGCAGATATAAAAAAAACCACCGTCCTATAACACTCTTCAATTTAATGTATAAATTCGTAACAAAAATTTTAACCAATATATTGACTACAAAATTCGACGGATACCAAGGATCGAAAGAACAAGCTGGTTTTAGAAAGGGATTTCAGACAGAGAAGAATGGAAAAGGATTGGGGAGGCATATGTCCAAAGATGGACCAAAGAAGGCTAATTAGATAGATAGAAAAGAACACAATAACATTATTTTCATCGCATAAAAATACATTACTTTTAATAATAAAACTAAATATGAATTATTCAAAAAGAAACTTTAACATAAGTGATCAAGAGACTCGTAAAAACTCACTCATTAAAAGTTCAATGCCTCTGAAGAGAACATCTGATACGACCAAAACAGATGGGCTTGGGTAGTATTTAAAAGAGCCGAAAGGTTGGTGTTCTCAAAAAAAGTTCCTTTATTCGTAAACCAGAATGAAGTGTTTTTAACATATAGTAAAATAAATCTGGAAGTACGTAACGGCATTAAAAGTGAATTGCCAGTTGCTGACTCTATAAATATACAAAAAAGGGTCTCTTATTATTGCACTTAATTAAAAATGGAAAATCGTCAAGTTACCCAATGTGTAAGTATACAAAACTTTACCCTACGTGAGTATCAAATTCTGAATGCATCTCGATTGATTAAAAAAAATTAATTGAGTTAAAATCGAGTCGTACGACTGTTTTTATAACTTTTACATGAGAAATAATTTATAAGGTTCTGAGATTTTATTTAAAGTGGATATCTAATTGTCTAACACTCAGAACTAATGTATACCTCTTCTTATTTCCGGCTGTCACGATATTTTTCTTCTGTTTTATCTGTCATGTCAATTCCTCTTTTTTCCGCTGTCACAATTCATCTTCTTTCTTATCTGTTGCGTCTTCTTTTTAAATCGTCTTCTTTTCGGTTGTTATGGCGTCTGTCATATCAACCAGTCTTTTTGTCTTTTTTCGCCTGTCACAATTCTTCTGTTTTTTTATCTGTCATGTCGACAGGTGGCTATCATCGGATCTTGATTATGGTGGCTTACGTCTCGACCAATCAATGGTGACCTAGGAACGCCCTAAGTAAACGCCTGACCAATGGTGACATGTAACGCTCTAACTGACAATGATGTACAAGTAAATGTCACCACATTTAATACTTATTGGAAGACCAAGAAAGTGATGGGATATAATGTGGATGAGAACACAAGAAATCTCCTTGGTTGTCGATCGTTGAGGATAATGGTTACAGACTGTAACAAATGCAGAGGTTTGCTAATGAAGGTTAGGCTTCGAGTTGGTAGTAGCTTCGAAATAGTAGATTCTATACCATATATTATTACGATTTAAGCCAAATTGGCTAGAGATGACTCTGTCTCTTTTTCAATGTGTCTCCAGTAAGTTGTCGTTACTCCATCGTTTTCGTGGTCTTCCTACTGATCGTCTTCCTATTGGGGAACCGTCTCTTGCTTTACTACTCTAGTTGTTGTCATTCGGCTTATATGATCATTCTATTCTACTCTTCTATTTCTTCAGTTCTTGATGTTCTCCATCTTGCATATATGTCGTACATCTGTACTTCCAGCTCTGTCCCATAGTGTCTTACCATCAATTTTTCAAGGTATTTTCATCTCTGCTGTTTCTAACATCCTTTTTGTCCTCTCTGCTTCAGGTCTTGTTTCTGCTGCGTATGTCATTATTGATCTGATGACTGTTTTGTCATCAGGCAGCATTTAGGCAGCCTGCGGCTTTATTTGGTCTATTCACTTTATTTTGAACTTGTGTTTCTTCTTCTTCTTCTTGTATATGGACATGACTCTGTCTGTTTATCAATGTGCCTTCAGTAAGTTGTCGTTACTCCATCATTTTCATGGTCTTCCTACTGATCGTCTTCCTAGTGGCGAACCGTCTCTCTCTTGCCGTCTTTACTACTGTAGTTGTTGTTATTCGGCTTATATGATTATTCTATTCTACTCTTCTATTTTTTACCCAGTTCTTGATGTTCTTCACCTTACATATACATCGTATATTTGTACTTCTAGCTCTATACCATAGTGTCGTACCATAAATTTTTTAAGGTGTCTTAATCTCTGCTATTTGTCCTCTCTGTATCAGGTCTTGTTTCTGCCGCGTACATCATTATTAATCTGATGACTGTTTTGTCAATTCTGCCTTTTGTTTTTTTCTTGATATTTTCATGTCTCCTTATTATTTCATTTAGGCAGCCTGAGGCTCTGTTTTCTCTATTTAACTTCACTTGTTTTATTGGGTTCTATGTAAATCTGGCCTTCCAGCTCCAATTTACATCTTAGTAAATTTGCTTTTCTCCCATTTGGTATCCTGTTTTAGTACTTTTTTATTATTTCATCCATAATCGGGTTAAACAGTAGTAAATAACGTCTTTTAGTTTGACCCGGTCAAATGCCTTTGTAAGGTTCACGAAACATAAATATGCCGGTTTGTTGTATTTTAATAATTTCTCTTGCACTTGCCTCATTATAAATATAGCGTCGGTACATGATCTTTCCGATATAAATTATTGGTTTTCTTCTGCTAGTTTTATCATTCCATTCAATTTATTTGTTATCACTTTGGTTGCTATTTTTAGTGTTTTGTTTATTAAATTAATTTCTCTGTAATTTACCGTTTTCGATTTGTCCCCCTTTTTGAAAATAGGTATAAGGATTCTTGATCTCCATTCTTGAGGAATTTTGTTTTGTTCTATTATTTTATGGATTAGTTTCTTAGTTGTTTGGTTAGATCTGGTCCTCTTAATGAGTTTGTTCGGAATTCTGTCCTCCCCTGGTGATTTTCTATTTTTTAATTTCCTTAATGCTTCCTTTACCTCTTCTTTCTCAATATTTATTTTTTCATTTGTCGTCACCTCTAGTACCGTAGAAGTCGTATTTAATCTGTTTTGAGTAACTCTGCCAGTGTTCCTTTTTTATTTGTCTAACTGAAGTATTCGTTTCAGTTCTGATTTGTTTATAGTGGTTGTATGCCTATTGTATTTGTTGTGTTCTGTATTGTTAAAAGACTTTCTTCTTTTCTTCACATTCTGTCTTCACTTTCTCTTTAATCCATGATGTTTTCTTTTTTTATATGTTATTGTTCGTTACTTTTCTCTCTCCAAGTAATTCTGTTGCTGGACTAATTATGTTATTTTTGAGTTTGTCCCATCATAATGTTTTAAAGTGCAGAATCTACAGTTTCGGTACAATTTCTTAAGGACCACACTATATAGGTTTTTATTGCTTTGATATTATTTATTGCGTTTTTAATCTCTAGATATTTTTTTTGTAATACATTTGAGTTTACCCTTTTTTCTTGAAAGTTTGTCGAAGACTTCAATGAGTAAAATATGTTTACGTAGGTTAAAAAATTTGGTAAAAAGATTTGTTGGCAATTTTTATCTGCTTACTTTCCTACGAAAAGATTTTCTAATTTGACACTTATCGATACAAGCAACACTTTTTCTGCCATATCGATTAACAAGTAATTCTTTTATCAAATTGAAAGAAATATTTTTAAAACAAACAATGTACACACTTTTTTATAGGTAATTTATAAATTTATTGTAGACTTAGTTTAAAAACTCACCATTGCCATAATTCATATTTTAATAAAGAATCTCCAAAACCGACAACAAAATATTACCAATTTTATTTAGCTCCCCACAGACTAATTTATCTTTTGTATAACAGAACAAGAACCGGCGCTAGGGATAAACGTTTTGATAAAGGTGTTTTCAGAAAAGTGTGACAAACTTTTACTGACTAAATTTTTCATAAGCAAAACTTTTCATAATAAAAGGGCTTATAAATATGCAAATAACTGGGGGAAAGACTCCCCAGCCCATATCGGCCGTTATTCAAATCATTTGTGACTGCCTTTTGTACATACAAATTTTATAGCATGCATTGTTGGTACGTTCGTTTTTGTGCACCGCTCTAGTTTGTTGAAGCATCTACAAGACATCAGCACCTTACACTGTTTTGTCCATACTGTGAGAGTTCATTTTGGTTTTAAACTTCAACACGTCATGGTTTTCATGGTTTTCTAGATTAATTTATATATCTTATGCTGTACCTACTTTTATTACATACCTCTATCGATGTCCAATAAAAAGTAATGTTTTTATATTAAAGAGATTTTAATTATAGTACCTTTGTAAAAGTATAGGTTATTACCTAGATCATTAATTAACTGTTATATTTTACATAAAACTCTGAAATAAAAAAACATATAAACTGTCCAATAACTGTTTTCTTTAACTTTGCCAGAAACATTTTTTAAGAATTGTTAATAACCAAGAAGTACACAATATTATTTTTATTTCAAGTTTTTATCAGTTATTTTTCAGTTATAACAAATTAATAAGATTATCTTAAATAATTCATATGGAAGAAAATCTAATACTTTGACTGGCAATAATTTTGTGCCTTACTTTTAAGGTCACTAGATGGCGTGAGGTGCTATTCATAAAATTTCCAAAACATTTCCATGTAAAAATTATTTGTAACTCATTTAAGGTCCACATTGGATAAGGTTATCTAGTGATTTTTTGAATTAGACAGGGAGTCTATAATATTATATCTATTTCTATTATCTACCATGCGATATGGAATAAATTCATTTTTAGCGTTACTTTGTACTATGAGAAAAAAACCTGAAACAGGTTAATTTGTATTCTTAAATTGACAATTTACAGTATTAAAATATTATCCCCCTCCAGCACCCCTTTTGAGTTATTATCACCACCACCAAAATTTTTAATAACAAAGGGGTCGTGTAGCACCTTGTTAGAAAGGAATTTCAGTTCTTTGTTTAGCAATATAAAGTTTTTTAAGTTTTGTACAATCATAACTGAAAAAATTGATTTTTTAGATGTAAAATTTTGATAAGGTCTTTATCACAAAACTTTAGGTTGAATGAAGATAATCATCACATCATATAACGGGAGTCATACGGCGATTGCCGCTTCCCGCATTACAGCCTCCATCTTTTTCTATTTCTCCAATCTCCTTCTTCTAAGCCTTTAGATTGCATTGTTTTTGTAATTTTTTTCTCCAGGAATTTGGTGGTCTTCCCCTTTTCCTTCTTTCTGGCGGAACATACATTAAGGCTTTTTTTGGCCACCGCTCCTCCTCTATTCTCATCACGTGACCATACCATTGTAATTGCCTTCCTTGAATTCTATCTGAAATAGTCTCTCTAATTCCTGTACGGTTTCGTATTTCCTCATTCCTGATTCTTTCCATTCTCGATACTCGACTTGACCTTCTTAAAAAATCCATTTCCACAACGTCTACTTTATCTCGTTCATTCTTTGTCATCGTCCAACATTGGGCACCATATGTGGTAATCGGTTCTACAATTGCTCTGTATACACGAAGTTTGGCATGCATATTTATTTTATTAGACCACAGTAATTAATTCAGTATTCGGATGCATGTTTTATCTTGGGTTATTCGGTTTTGTACGTCTATCTAAACTTTGCCATCTGCTGATATGATGCTTCCTAGATATTTATACTGGTTTTTGACTGCGTTTTCAAGCCTCAGATCTGTGGTATTTCCTCCAATTTTTAAATATT